TGAGGACGACTGTAGTCCATGGATGTTGGCATTCAGTGCACAACTTGTGTAGACTCCTCTCACTTGAGCCAGGAAAACAAATGCTGCTAAAAGAAATGCTTGTCACGAGGAGAGGCTGTACGAGGAGATTCTCTGTCATGCACGCTTAATGCACCGTTAAAAGAGTCGCAGTTGAAGCAGTCGCAGCTGGACTGTGCTTTGATTTGTACATACTCAAATGTATTCATACCGTAATCGTGGTTCAACAGAAATATACATATATTAAAAAAATAAAAAATAAACAAGCATGATGGGACCCGTAAACTAATACTTTGTTGAACAACCCTTTGAGCCAATCACAGGTGTTTTCTGTAACTCTCAGTCAGACTTCTGCACCTGTTCACAGGTATTCTGATTTCACTGCTCATCAGCAAAGTGCTCTAATTTGTCCAGGACAGTTTTTTATTTATTTTTTTTAATTATTATTTTCACCCACAAGTCAAAAGCAACATCTTATTTCATTAAATTATAATTTAGCAAATTTTTATTTATTATTACTTTTTTTCAGTTTCTAGTTATTTGAGTGACTTTTGTGAATTTTGCCTTTTCTTTAATGGAAGAACACATTTGAGAACAACTGTATATCACTGAAGAGAAAGACAGGCAATTACTTTCTCACAAACAGACTTTACAGCATTGTGTTAGGCTTATACTTTTGTTAGCACAAAGTTTTTAAAAGAAATCTTGCAAAATTCTTACAATTTTTCGCTAAATTGTCTTGTTTTTCTCCTTTCTTTGGGCCAATTTGCTTTCTTTTACACGTCATCCTGTACAGCGTTTGTCACTTCCTTTGCTAAAAGTTTTCACAAGAGTTTACAGAGTCGAGGAGACACTTGGTTTTCTGTCACCATCAGCAAAAACACCAAATCAAGTAATTTTTACATAAAGGCGCCGTGTCCCATTTCTGTCAGCGCTGACAATCTAGACATGTGCAGAATCGATGTCAAAGCACACGGCAGCGGTTTTTTGGTAGCTCGTGGTTTCCTTTTAAAAGGCTTCATGTCATCACTGCCATTATATAGTCGCTGTTTTAAATCATAGTGTGTATTGTGTTCATGAGCACCAGCACTCGCAAGACTTCCAATTATTGCTGGAGAATGTGAAAAGTAGACAAAAGCTTAACAAGGGGCCTCTAACAAGTAGCAACATTTTGGCACCGACGCTCCACAAGCAATCAAAGCCAGACAGCATGGCGGATAAATCAATGCAATTATTTAGGGAGTATCAAGCTGAGTAATGTGTATTGTGTGCAAAGTGTCTGAAAAGGCTCCTCTGTGCCAACACCCAACGCTTCAGCGCGCGTGTGTGTTTGAGACCAAGGTGGCTCACAAGTCATCAGCCCTTTGTCATCACCCCCAATAATCACATTAGAATTCACACAATAATCCAAAAAGAATGTGTGTATTCATCAACTGTACCCCAGCACACACACACACCACATCCTGAACAAGTCCAGCCTTATCTCTGCACTGCAGCAGCAGCACATTGACTCCGTCAGTTCTCCCCCCCCCCC